ACCTCCGAGGTCGTGAGTTCTCAGAGAGTGGCGCCCCAGAGGCCTGCACCTGCTCCTGGGGACCAGCTTGTCGTTCCGAGTATCCAGGGACGGTCCCGGGGCCCCGTGAGGGGAGCCGAGGCCGAAGATGGCCAAACCCCTCCGTCGTGAGCTTCTCACGACGCGAGGATGCCAGCGCTCGCCGACACTCACATCGGAGCTGCGATGTGATCGTGGGGTCCATCTTGAGGGGGAACAGTGGTGGGGGAATGGCTCAGGAGGGGGGGGAACCTCAACCTGGAAGCGATGATACATCGCCGATACATCGCCGATAGATCACCGCACGGTCCTCGGCGGGGTGGGCTGTCGGGCCCATGTTGGCGATCAATGGGCGATTGGGGGTCGATACATCGGCCTGGGCGTGTCCTCCCCCCCAGTCGTTGCCCCCTGGCTTTCGTGTCATAGCTCGGCTCTCCGACGGCCTTTCGGTCGAGGCGAGCCGGGGTACCCCCAGAACGCTCTCGGCGAAGCGCAGCGGCTGGAAGGCACCCCCGGGCTGGGAAACCGCCGAGAACCGACGAAAACGTCCGAGAACCTCGAACACCTCCCCCCCAAGATTGCCCCTGAGCCTGTCCCCCCTGAGGTTGCCCCTGACATCTGTTCTGGCCCCACATTCTGGAAGCCATGGAGTGAGAGGCGGGGATTTATCCAGAACAGCCGCCTGGGGATCGATCTTCGGGGGCCTCGGCAGGCGGTGGATACGGATATTCGGAGCCCCCAGGGACCCGACATGTCCATAACTACTGCCTGGCGATCCCTGCGATCTGACGCTGCGACACAAAAAAAAAAAACATCATCGCAACAAAAACAACGACCAGAGCCTAGACCACAGCTTTCGGTGGCATTCGTCGAGCTGAATAGATCTGTGATGGCCCCAGGGCCCCGATCCGAGTGACAGCCCCGCGTGAAAAAATTGCGACGCCCGGATCTCAGGGAGGGCCAATACATACATTTCCACCGCCTGCCGATGTCCCTGGAAATCGATCCCCCAGGCGGTGGTTATGGGAAATCCATCCGGACATGTGCCAGAGTGCGTCCTGAACTGAATTTCGAGGCGGATCCAGCCGTGGCGACGGGGAGCCCCCTACAGGCCCAAGAGGGATTGAAAAAGGTCCAGGCTCGATCCTCGAACCTCATCTGTACACTGCATCTGTCCGCTCCGCCTCTGGTCCCATCGTCGACGATGCTCGTGCGAGGCTGCACCGTGATTAGGCAATTGAGCCCGAAGAGACCCTCGGCGGCGAAACGCGTAGCCTCTCCTTGTGTGCGCTGGAGACGCGATCCAGAACCAGTGGTTCTGGGCACAGGATCTGTGGTACAGGAATAGGGTCCGAATACGGTCGAGGATCTGTGGTTCTGAGCCACAGATCCTCGACCCTTCGACCCCTCGACGCGAGGCTAAGACCCCTGCCTCGACTGGCGCTGCGGGCGGGCTGGCGGCCCGCGACCACGGGCCACCCGAGACCCCCCCGGGCCCGAGGCGAGGAGCGCCCCCCCCCGTTCAGCGCCGAGGGAGGCGGGCCGCGGAGCCGACGCCGACGCCGACGCCGACGACGACGACGCCGACGACGACGCCGACGACGACGACATCGCCGACGACGACGACGACGGCGGCGACGACGACGCGGACGACGACGACGACGACGACGACGACGACGACGACGACGACGACGACGACGACGACGGCGACGGTGGCGACGGCGGCGACGGCGCCGACGACGGTGGCGGCGGCGGCGGCGACGTAGACGACAACGACGGCGCCGTCGCCGACGCCGTTGCCGACGACGACGCCGACGACGCCGATGTCGACGCCGACGACGACGCCGACGACGACGACGACGCCGCCGCCGACGGCGGCGGCGGCGACGCCGCCGACGGCGACGACGGTGGCGGCGGCGCCGGCGACGACGACGACGACGACGACGACCCCAAATCTCCGACGAGCTGTGTTACTTCTTCCGTCCTGGGGCTTTTCTGCTGGGCCGATTTTCCACAACCACTGCCGGCGGTAGGTGGGAGAGGTAGGAGGGGTAGGAGAAGGAGGAGGAGGAGGAGGAGGAGGAGGAGGAGGAGGAGGAGGAGGACCTCTCCATCCTCCCTCCTCGCCCGTCCTACCTTTGGTAGTGGTGGTGGCAAGTCGGCCCACCATTTTTTCCTCAAGCTCGGTCTCTGGGACCGCCCTGGGGGCGACAGGCTGCCCGCCGGAGAGGGAAGGGGACCCTCGACCTCTTGGGGCCGCGCACCGAACAACAAAAAAATCTCAGAGCGCCGTGTGTCTGTGCAGGGGCCCACAAATGTTCTGGGTGTTTTCTGTCTTCCCCCCACTTCCCATATTTCCGCACATTTTCCTTGGAATCGACGATGAATTGTGTCTGTGTGTTTTTTGTCCCTCCTGAGTCTGGGCACGCCACGACTCCAGCGGAGGCGGTGGCGGCGGCGTTACAGTCAACCCGCATCGTAAGGATGCGCGGCAAGGATGCAAGGGCCCCGGAGAGTCATGCGAACGTTTTCCGCACGAGGATGGCCAAGGCAAGTCGCTGAGGGTGGGCCGAAGGGGAAGGGATGCAAGGGAAGCCTTGGAAAGTCGGTCATCCTGACTACGCGGGTCGACTGCACCTGGGCACGCCACGACTCCAGCGGAGGCGGTGGTTGCGGCGTTATCCGCGTCTGTCCCGTCGTAACCCTATCCGCGTCGAATCCGCGTCGAACCCGTATCGGAATTACGTCGGACTCGTCGAAGCCGCGTCGAATCCACAAAGAATCTGCGTCGGGTCCGCCTCGAGCCCGCGTCGGGCACAAGAAAGGCTACCAATTTGGGGACAGATGCAACTCAAGCGGCGGCGACGACGACGACGACGACGGCCCAGCTCAGGTTTCTGGGTGCCTCTGGCGAAAGCTCCCTGGACGTACCCGCCCAGGGCCTCCCCGTACATGCCCCTCTAGAACCTGGAAGCCTCCCAAACCGCCGAGCCTCTGCAGCAGTCTCCTGCCATGGCCACTCCGGCGCTGGCTTCTGACACCGCGTCGATCGCCCAACCTTGCGCGATCGCGGCTTTCCGGCTCGCCGCGGCTCGCATCGGGACGACTTTGGCGCTGGCTCCTGGCACCGAGCGGGTTGCTCTGATGGGCTTGTTTTCCATCACCATCACCATAAGTTGGAGGAGGGAAGGAGGTGGAGGACGAGGAGGAGGAAACGGAGGAGGAGGAGGAGGAGGACCCCCTCCCCCTCCAACTTATGGTGGCGGTGGTGGAAACATGCCCATCACGCTCTCCACCTTGAGCGATCCCAGCTCTCCGCCAGCGCAGGTCGTCCGACGCTGACCGGTTCTGGGCGGCTGGCTGCGTGCCAACTCGAACGCCCGAGCTGGGGCCACCGACACAGCACAGCAGTTGATCCCGTTTTTTCGCGTCGCTCAGAGGAGGGGGTGCCATGGCCTCGTAGAAGAATCAGATATGCGCTGCGACTGCGTGAGGACCTCCAAGGGCCGGCAAAACCAAGAGCGACCGCAGCCAAGAGTGGCCTTCGGTGCGCGGCCGAAGCGGGGGCCCTTTGGGACACCACCAGGCGTACGAGCCGCTACTATCACATCGCGTTCAGCCATCGGTCTTGCACCAAAGGTCACTCTGGCGAAAGGTCGGTCTTGCGCGCCGCCGAGAATAGCGTTGAGTCGGGCATGTCCCCCTACAGGCGGATTTGGGAGAAAATTAAAACATACCCCCCAAATGCACCAAAATTTATAAAAATGATAAGAAAATCGTCCCGTGACTACTTTTTTACTATTTTTGAATCTCTTCTGTAGAGGGACAGGCCCGACTTAAGAACAGCGGCCGACAGCCTGCGAGAGCCCTTCGCCGCCCGCCAGCGGACGTGAGCGAGCACGCCGGGGAGCCTCCCGCGCCCTGGGCCCGCGGGCGTCGCGCGCGCGCCCCTGCGATCGGGGAGCTACCGGCCCAGGTCTGGTCGACACGAGAAGGGGCTCCAGCTGCGAGGGGGTGGTGCCATAGAACTTGGGGCAGTTGTGTTGCAGATGCACTGCGGCGGAGAATTGTACTACCGTGGATTGCAAGCAATGCGTTGCACGCGAAAATCCAGCAATACATTTGCGCCCCGGAACGTATTGCACGCCCCAAATGTATTGCAACCCCACAAATCTATCACACCAAATCCATTACACCACCCCCTTGTCGCTGGACCCCCTTGTGGGTCAACCCGAACAGGTCAATCCAAACCCGGCTCGGTCGGGGTCTGCAGGAACCCGCAAGAGCCTACAGGATCCGGCCACTGAGCATGTTCTTAGGGTGGAGGGCTTTGGGTACAATCCATATGGGCTGCGTTGCACCTCGAAAACCAAACAGTCTTGTGATTTGACCTTTTGCAGATTCAGGCCTCGAACATCCATCGAAACGGCACTTCAGATTTCACCCTTTGCGCTCCACCCAAAGAAAATGGTCAGTGCAAGATACTCTGCACCCAGACCTGGCTCAGTCACCCCTGGCTCCGCAGGATCCTGCAAGATCAGGCGCCCTGACTGATCCCCGTGTGCATTGACCCCCGCCTCTTGAGCCCCGATCCGCCGCCGTTCCACTTCCCCCGGCTTCCGCCGAGGGCGAGGGGCGAGGGTGCGCCGAGGCCGAGTCCCTTCCTGCACGGCGCGCCCTGCGGAAGGTTCGTGTCGTGACGTCGGCGCTGGTCTCGGACATCGCGCCCGTCGTTCAACCTGGAACGACCGCGGCTTCCCAGGGGATTCCAGACGAAAAAAAACAATAGTCCAAGAATAATCCCAAATGCTCAAATCTAGTCCAAAAAATCGTCCCCTGACTATTTGTGGACTATGTTTGAACATTCCTCCTGTAGAGGGACACGCCCGACTTGATAATTGCGCGGCTCGCTCGATGCCGCGCCCCGACGCGAGACAACGGCGGGGCTCCCCCCGGGGGGGAGCGGCGGCGCCGCGGCCTCCTCAGCGCGTGGAGGTGGGCCACGGCGCTGGACAGGATGTCGGCGGCGGCCTGGGAGGCAGTCGCCCCGCCTGGCGCGGCGCGGCCCCGGCGGGGGCGACGGGGGCCCGATATCGAGGGCTCGGCGCGCCACGCTGGAGGCTTCTCGTCGCCACGGCCGGATCCGCCTCGAACAGCGGGTTGGTATGCATGCTGTACTACTTGGCACGATCGTGTACTCTATGTATATTGACATATGTATATATACATATAGGTGTATGTGGTAGAGGGTATACCTGGTATGTCTATGATGTGCACATGCATGCGTAGAAATGTGTGTGTGTGTGCGTTGATCCAATATCCGTCCGCTGAGAGAATGAGGAGGAAGGAAAGGGAAGGGAAAAGGAGGGGGGGAAAAAGGGACACTAAACACAGCATAAACATAAACTGTTGGGGGGGCCGTGCGGATTTCTTGGATCGGCGATGGGCTCCCCTCCCTGGCGCGAGGAGCGCGCCAGGGGCGGCGCTGGATGCGCCGCCAGGGGGGCCCCAACGCCGACCCAAGAAGTCCGCACGGGCCTTCAGAATTGTACGTTCATGCCCTCTCCTTGTCTCTGTGCTATTGTGTTGTTGTGTTGTTACTCTTCCATGCCTTCTCCCTCCCTCCCTCCTTTTTCCTTCCCTTCTCATCTCCTCCTCCTCCTCCTCCGCCTCCTCCTCCTCCTCCAAGTCGTTCTCCTCCTCCTCCTGCGCCATCTGCCTGCAGGGTCCCCCCCGGAGAGAACCGCTTTCGGTCCCGAGGATACAAACGAGAACCAGCGACGAACGACTGCCCGAACCAGTGGGGCCTCCTCTCGGAGCAGGGCGAGGTGAGACAACGGTAGCTCAATATCAATCTCCAAACCCCTCCCGGGGCCCAGCCGTGGCTACGGGGGCCGCCCCCGAAGGTTAACTATCGCTGTTTCGACTCGCCCTCATCTGATCCTCCTCCGGAGATCCTCTGATCTTCCTCCGGAAACCCATGCTCATGTCGTTTCCTGTTATTGGAGATGGCTTTGAGGAAGACAGGCTGGGAGGATGGGTTTGGGAGACACGATCAGATCATCCATAGTACTGCGTATGTTGAAGGTGCTTATCACACAGTCCCACCCTCTATCTTTACCACCCCTTCCTCCCAACACGATACTTGTTTTTCTCCCAGGTTTGTTTATTGTTTCTGGTAACGGTCGTTGCCCGGGAGGGGGGGTGCGGAACCCTGGGTCCTGGGTAACGGTAACGCTTGGGCGGGGGGCACGTCGGGGTGGGGGTGCGCTGTGCGCGCGAGCACCACCATGTAGGTGAGGTCCAGCCCCCCCCCCTCGCACGCACGCACGATCGTTACTGTTACATGGGGAGGGGGGTGGGGTCGGACCAGGTAATTACACTCGGACCCAAGGACAGAAGAACATCCTTCAAGAACACGAGCCCCTCCGCCGGCCAAAACGCACGGAACGTCCAAGCGTACCCTCCCCCAGGATGCACAAGACCACCCAACGAACACCAAGAACACGAGGGCACCCCCCCCGAACCGACCTCGATCCTATACCTCGGTCCGCCTGCAGCGACCCTCACGCGCCAGAGGATCATAAAACAACGACTCTTGAGCGGAGCAGTGGCACCAGGAGCCGCGGCCGCCGCGCGGCGCCGCGCCGCCTCCGCCGCCGCGCCCGCCGAGCGCGTGCGCGACGAGAGCGCCCACGGCGGCGGGCGCCGCGAGCTCGTCGAGGAAGACCTCGGCGTCGCAGATGTCGCCTGGCCCGCTCGCCCCCGGGTCGCCGTCACGGGCAGCGGGGTCGGCGTCGGCGTCGGCGTCGGCGGCGTCGTCGTCGCCATCGTCGTCTACGTCGCCGCCACCGCCGCCGCCACCGTCGCCAGCGTCGTCGCCGCCGTCGCCACCGTCGTGGTCGTCGTCGGCGTCGGCGTCGGCGGCGACGGCGCCATCGTTGTCGTCTACGTCGCCGCCACCGCCGCCTCCACCGTCGTCGGCGTCGTCGCCGCCGTCGCCACCGTCGTCGTCGTCGTCCGCGGCGTCGTCGTCGGCGTCGTCGTCGTCGGCGGCGATGTCGGCGTCGTCGTCGTCGTCGGCGTCGTCGGCGGCGTCGGCGTCGGCGTCGGCGTCGGCTCCGCGGCCCGCCTCCCTCGGCGCTGAACGGGTGGGGGCGCTCCTCGCCTCGGGCCCGTGGGGGCCTCGGGTGGCCCGTGGTCGCGGGCCGCTGGGCCGCCCGCAGCGCCAGTCGAGGCAGGGGCTTTACCCTCGCGTCGAGGGGTCGAAGGGTCGAGGATCTGTGGTTCTGGATCGCGTCTCCAGCGAACACAAAGAGAGGCTAGGGGCTGGGCGTTTCGCGGCCGAGGGTCTCCTCGGGCCCAAATGCCTCATCACGGTGCAGCCTCGCACGAGCATCGTCGACGATGGGACCGGAGGCGGAGCGGTCAGATGCAGTGTACAGATGAGGTTCGAGGATCGAGACTGGACCTCTTTCAATCCCTCTTGGGCCTGCAGGGGGCTCCTCGTCGCCACGGCTGGATCCGCCTCGAAATTCAGTTCAGGACGCACTCTGGCACACGTCAGGATGGATTGCCCACAAACGCCGCCTGGGGGATCGATTTCCCATGACCGTCGTCGTCGTCGTCGCTGTCGCGGTCGCTGTCGTCGTCGTGGTTGTGGTTGTCGTGGCCGTGGTCATGGTAGTCGTGGTCGTCGTCGTCGTGGTCGTCGTGGTCGTCGTGGTCGTGCTCGTGGTCGTGCGCGTGGTCGTCGTGGTCGTGCGCGTGGTCGTGCGCGTGGTCGTCGTGGTCGTGCTCGTGGCCGTCGTGGTCGTCGTGGTCGTCGCGGTCGTGCTCGTGGTCGTGCGCGTGGTCGTCGTGGTCGTGCTCGTGGTCGTCGTGGTCGTCCTTGACGTGGTCGTCGTCGTCGTCGTCGTGGCCGTGGGTCCTCGTCGTCCGGGGCGGCCGCGCCCAGCGGCGGCCCCTGCCGCGCTCCTGCCGGCGGTGGCCTACGTGGGAGGTCGGGGCGCCGTCTTGACTCCTGCTGTGCCGTGTGCGCTGCGGGCATCGGAAAAGGGAGCCACTGCATAGGAAGCCCGCCACGCCTCGGCGCGGCACGCCGTCCACGTCCGAGCCCCCAGGCGCCCTCGCCCCGGGCCCTGCCGAGCCTTCCGCCCCGCGAAGCGAAGCGGCATGCGAGCTGCTCGCAGAGCACCGCGTGTCGCTGGGGCCGTGGGCATCGGATAAGGAACCGTTGGATGAGGAACCCAGGGCCTGGAGGCGGGTGGAACACCCATCGTGGATTGGTGGCGCGAGGGGGCGGCCTTCGAAGAGGGCGGGGGGCCTCTTAAGGTCGGGACCTTTCGCATAGCGTGTCACGGCGGTGGCCCCGGCGGCACGCTATGCCCTGCGAGCGGATAGCGCGTCGC